TTGACCAGAAGAGTTCCTGAAAAGTATGATTACTAACTAATCTGAAAAATTCCACAACAATCAGACCAATAGATGAGCTCAAATACTCCACATACAAAAGTCGAATGACCTGAAAGACCTATTTCTGACGTATATAAATAATTAAGAATTTACATAATCTATGAAACTTTGTAGAATGGACGGCAACTGCCTGTTGTAGAGACACGAGTGTAGAGGACGACGTTTCGAAAGTCTTCCGCCTTTCATCTTCAGGTCAGTGTGTGTAAGGTGTTGCCGGTCTTAAAAGTCCATTCTACAGAGTTTCATCATGAATACTCTGCCTAAACAATCTATCAAAGTATTACATAATCTAATTTATACAGTTGTATTTCTCTGTCCCGGAGATAAGTATCTTATTAAAGTCAAACAATATGCAATTTGTTACAAACACGTTGATTTATAGTTCATCCCCTGTACACAAAACTAACCTTTCTCTTAAACATGACCCGTACAGTAAGTTTCTGTATAGCATTTTACAGGACTTTACATGCTAGCTGATGACCTCCCCTATACAATACCAGCTTCTTATTCAATTACTTGTTGCTTGGAGATACGACTGCACGTGACGGTGTGCTGTGAATAGGATCCTATTAGTAGGCACCCCCCAACGAGAGGAGACAGAAGTCTGTACAATTAGATCTGAAGAGATCACTTGACCGGAGAAAACGGATTAGTTAGGCGGCTGCCTATCAAATCGCTCTACCAATTGGATACACGGTCATTATCCGGGACCCGGATAACTCCGAAAACACAGAATTAATATGCTCTCAAACTGTGAAGCAACGCTTTTTCATCAGAGGTGAGATACAGTAAAGAACACATATACAAATATGAGCAAACTGCAAAGGCATATGTCTAGCTGCGGTTGCTATGGGAACGACTGCACTTTGCCAGTGTTAGTGCATTAACGATATAACAATGACCCAGGTCTCATCTTATATATTTAACACGCCGTGGAAAACATACATCTGTACAATATTAGTTTTCACTTCACTCAAAGCGATTACACTCAAAGCATTTCAACCTCACTTAAAAGCGAGATTTGCTGTAAATGATTTTGTTGTTGTTGTTTGTTTGTTTGCTTACTTTTTGTTTTATAGGGCAAAGCCGCTTTGGGCTATCTGCTACATCCACTGCGGGGAATCGAGCCTCAGATTTTACCGTTGTAAGTCCGTAAACTTACCACTGTCCCACCGGCGGACTTAAATGGTGTCCAAACAGACTTTAGTAGTTTTAGAAACAAACAACTTTGCTGTTTAATTAGAACGTATTTAAACTCTCTGTTCCGGTAATTAACCGAGTTGTGGAAAGTGTTTCTTCTAGAAATAAAACATTATTATTATCACGTACATTTAGAAACACGGTCGGTGCACGATGAAAATACCGTCTTTTTTCACAGAGCGATACGACATCGTCTTTGCTACAATATCAATCATTCAGCATTGGTTGCATGTATACGAGAACTAAGATTGTACCAGAACATACGGGATATTCTTAATAAGACTATACACGATACAAGGTAATTACATCCACTTTCAATGTGTTGCTGATGTCAGGTTGCTGTTGATTAATGGCAATTTACTGGAGATTACTCACTGTTTGAATCAGTGCCATGGATGTAAAGGGAAGGGGGGTTATGTTGTCTTATAATATATGCACACACATATAATACGTACACAAGTTTACGCACTACTCTGCGTGAAACTAACTTGAGACTGTGGAAGCGGGAACTTGTGTTACTATTATATTATATAACACATCCTTTACACTATCATACACATATATATATATATATATATACGTTTGTGCACAACTGAACAACAATTCGCTAAACACAATTCTGTTCTAATTTAACAAAGAACTGTTTAAGTTTAACAGAAGTTTCGAAACTTCGAGAGCCAGATCGTTATAATTATTATTCATATCAGCAGTTGCACTAAACCCTAAAGTTGCCCGTATAAAATGTTCGGAAATTAGCTAATTAGTTATCCATAGAATGGATGAACTCCTCGACCACTCTTGTTTTATTTTGTTGTCGTTGTTATTCTTGTGTGTTCATAAGTTGTTTTTGAATTTCGCGCAAAGCTACACGAGGGCTATCTCCGCTAGCCGTCACTAATTTAGCAGTGTAAGACTAGAGGGAAGGCAGCCAGTCATCACCACCCACCGCCAACTCTTGGGCTACTCCTTTACCAACGAATAGTGGGATTGACCGTCACATTATAACGCCCCCACGGCTGAAAGGACGACCATGTTTGGTGGGACGGGGATTCGAACCCGCGACCCGCAGATTGCGAGTCGAGCGCCATAATCACCTGGCCATGCCGGGCCTGTGTTCATAAATAGGGTTTATTTATATGTGTATTTTGTGCTTATGTTTGAAGTTTGATTAAAATAGTTTTACAGAACCCTAGTTACCATGCTGAAAGTATATGGCTATATATACGACGGATAATATATGAATTTACAAAATGGCGGGATCGAACGTGTTTAGACGAGAGAGAGAGAGAGATAGCTGTGTGCAGATCCTCCCGATCTTCGTGGTATCACGGTACTTTTTAATTTCCGCTACCAAGTTTTGTGCGCTACTCTAAAAAAAAAACAAAAAATAAAAAAAAACACCCGTCGATTTGTGTTCGTTTAGGGAGGGGGCGCATTAAAATAACTTGTCAAAAATCTTACGAGGCTATTTTTTATGTTTCCAAAGGAAACTGATTCGATGCAATCATTTTCTAAGAGCACCAGCCAGAAAAACGTACCACGTTGTGCCGATTAATAAGTGAAAATGGTAGGTCGAAGTTCAAGGAAAGGCCAACAGGAACATTTACATATGAATTGACCATTCTCTCATCATTAGTCAGATACAACTATTCGGTAAGTTCCACACTGACAGTCAACAAACATTATATTAACTGAAGAGTACACAACGCACCAGCGCATCGCCAAGCCTCATAGACAGCTGAGTGGACGGATAGACAGACTGTTTTTACTGTGACTAAACAATGTTTACACAATAATATCAATTCGTGATAATATCGTTAACATAGCACATAACCCTTAAAGTATGAAGGTGAAAATTGGAGAACATGTTATCAACACATGGCGGATAAAACGGCCACCTTCACGTAGCATATTCTTCTTAATTTACTCGTGATCAAGGTGATCAATACTGTACATCCTACGTTAATGGTGTGGTCACATTATCCCTTGACCTGCTCACCAAGTTGACATAGCACACATCTCTTATCACAATCACCAATACGAGCAACTTTGTACACCTTATAAAAATAAAAGATTTTCTCACCCCAATCATTGACCTTGGCCCACAGACCTTATACCTTTCAAAAACAAGTTCTGGTCATTTTGACCATTTACGTACTCGCCAAGCCCACCAACTTTACATCTTAGTCACTGTGTATGGTCACTTCAACACAATACACAGCTCTTTACGTACTCGCCAAGCCCACCAACTTTACATCTTAGTCACTATGTATGGTCACCTCAACACAATACACAGCTCTTCACCTAATC